ACTCTCGAAATTGATGGATCCATTAAATTTTGCTGTTTATACTATCTTCAAAAATATTAAACGTAGGCAAAAGTTATGAACAAACCCCAAGTCGTCGAACATTTCCGGTTTTGAAAGCGCGATGTTATAGCAGAAAGCAAGAATTTAGAAGAAATTTACTCAAAGTGATTTGAAATGGCTAAATGAGCAGTTGCGATAAAATAAAAATATAGAAGAATGAACTAGAGTTTTGGTAGTTAATGAGTGAGATTCTAGTAGAAAATGGCAGCAAGCAAAAAGGCTTTGCGGGCGCGTCTTAGAGAAAAAAAGCAATTGGGAGCAGCTACATCTCCACTTCAGTAAACGCCTCGCAAATAGCCGGAACAGAATGTCGTGTTAAGTAGCAGGATATTGCCCTTGACACAAATGGAAAAACGAGGGAAGAATAGAAGTTAGAGTGAGGTAAGTCGCAATTACTAGGGGGCAAGGTAAATTGTAAGGTAAGGGCGCTTCGTTATTTTCGTAAAGGGATAAAGCTCAAAATTGTGCAGAAAACTGTTGCGTGTCGTGTTTATTGTGGGTACTATGAAATTCATCATCAGCGCTTATAGGAAACATGAGCAAAGGGGAGTATTAAACTATTATTAAACTTATCAATCACGTAAGTTTTTAACTGGGAGATGAACTAGGAACCGGTTCATTGTGGCCTCAACTGCAAGTTTCGCGTGAGCGCAGTTTCATAAATTCTACCCTTAACCTCATCATCGTCATCATCAACGCGTTGCTAAAAAATCACGCAGGTTTTTGACACTTTCGCCGGTACCGTGAACGGCGTTAATCATGGCCAAAACAACTAGGCGGTAAGGCAGTCTCACTTATGCTATCGTTCTAACGGAGGGGGGAGAGCAAATAGGTTAGACAGATATAGAACTTTAATGATTGATACTGCAAAACATATTTCGGTTATGCTTTTTATGAATAGTGGTAGTAGCAACAGCAGCAGAAATCGTGGTTGAAGTGAAAAACGAAAGTCACACAACGAAAGAAAGCTATCAAGAGATGGAACATACGGGGTTTGGTATTGGCGGGG